TTTCTTGTCAATGCATTGAGAGATCTGAAATCTACACAAACACAAGTCTCTCCATTAGCTTTCTTTACAAGAATTATCGGAGCAGACCAGGGAGAGTTAGAAGGACGAATAATACCTTCTTCGAGTCCTTCTTTCACAAATTTATCAATTAAGAGATGTTCCGGTGGCGTATAAGGTCTGCCATGAACTTTTACTGGTTTGGCGTCGCCAGTGTCGATTATGTGTGACCACTTACGCTTGGTGTCAGTTGATATTGATTCCTTGAAACAATTTGGAACAAACTTTCTAGCTATTGCTTCCATTCGGATTGATTCGGAGGATCTTCCTTCTGCGTCGAGTATAAATAAGGTCTGTTGTTTCCCTTCAGGATGGTTTTGAGGTAAGATCTTGATGTCCTTGTGATGGTATTTAAAATTCCATCCGAGAGTCTTGTAATCGGGAACAACTTCATTTTTTCTTAACCACGGTAGACCAAGAACAAGGTCAAATCCGGGCAAATCAGTGATGAGGGCTTCACAGTGTTGGAGGTAATCTTGGCCCCATCGGAGGCTAAACTTAGCCTTGTGTCGGATGATCGTAGTTTGACCATTAGCTACTTTGACTTGTCGAGCTGGGCAGATTTCGACCTTCATCCTTCCTTGAAGACATGCGGTCCTGGCGAATTTCTTGCTAATATAAATTGTACCGGCGCCAGTGTCGATAATTGTGGTGGCTCGGAGACCACCGGCTAAGAATTCAAATCGGGGTAATTGAGTTTCTCCTTCAGAGAGGTTCAATTCGAGATAATTGAATGACAAAGTTGAATTCGATGGAAGGTAAGGATAGGGAGTACCACGACGAGGAAATTTCTTTCGTGGGCTTATTTCTTCTTGTGGAAATAGAATATCAGGTTCATACTTTCTTTTACCATTGCTGACTGATTTTCTCCATTCTTCGATACTAATTTCTTTGATGTCTTCTGTTGCGTCAACTAGAGTGATCTGACTTGAACTAGGAGTTTCTTCTATGAAGTCCTCAACTTCTTTTACGAACAAGGGTTGAGGTTCTTCTTCATCTTTAGTAAGATCTATAACAATACGTTCTGGGGTACTTTCTTTATCACCATATCCGGCGAAGATCTCCAATAATTCATCTACATTGAGCTGATAATCTTCTTGAATGTAAACTTGTTCTTTTCCGTCCCATAGAGAAGGAGGCAGGACTGAAGAGCTGCAAGAAGAGGCGTCCTTTTCGGTTGTCTTAGTGGTGATGTGACTATCTAAGCTTTCATTTTGATTTGAGTAAGCGGCTATGTCGGTCTCGTAATGGGAAGAGACAGGATTCAAATAGACATCTTCGATCTCGTGAAGGAAGTGTTCGAGATCTTCGTCTCCATCAGACATAGTTTCACACCATAATTTCTTGACAGCCATCATCTCGTCTTGAGCAAGAAGACCTCTAGTATGGTTTACGTTGCGTCGGGTGTAATGGTCTCGTAGACCCGGCGTGAATTCAATGGCTTCAGGGTGTAGGTGAGTGACGTCTTCATCAACTTCTAAGTTATTCTTGAGTCTTTCCATAGGAGTTCTATTGTCGGGGGTATTGAATACTAGGTCTAGGAGTTTATCGGGTATGTTGTTCTCGTCGATAAAGTGAGGGTTAAATCCAATCTCGGGAGTTCCTTCTAAATAATGTAAGTCCAGTTCCATTTGAGTAGTTTCTTCTTGATAATGTAGATCAACTTCTACAGTTCCTTCTCCGGAATCTTCAATTCTATCGGAGTCTTCCATTAAGTTAAATGAGAATTTATTCTGTGTGCGATGATTGGAATTTGGTTGATTAGTTTTCTTCCTTGGAGCGCGACATTCTTTCGAGAAATGTCCGGTCTTATTGCAATTATAACATCTTGATTTACTCACCTCGGCGACGTCTAAATCCATGGGAGTCGCTGAGGAATTTCGAAAATTGTTGTGAGAATGATTTGGTTGACGGTTACGGAAATTTGAGTTGGTTTGCCAACGGGAATCAGATGGTAATGGGGAAGAATGAGACTTGTTAGAGAACACTGAACGAGACAACCTCTCATTTTCACGGAGAGATTTAGCTAAGGCGTCCAAAGTCTCACCTTTCTCAGACAGGACTCGCCTCTGGAGATCGTGAGGTAAGTTCCTTATAAATAAATATTGAGTTTCCCAGTCCGTAAGTTTTTCTTTAGGAATCTTGAAACTGAGGCGTTTAAACTTTTCAATATATTCCTCTGCGGTTCGAAATTTGAGATTATCAATGGCTTGTCGGGCTTCCAGTTGTTTAAAAGAATAGTTATAATGTTCCAGTAGCTTACTTTTAAACAATTCCCAACTCATGCCTTCATAGCCGTATTCTTTGGCTAAGTTATACCACCAGGTTTCGGCCTCATCTTTCATGCAACCAACAATAGTGTTGGTCCAACGCTCTAAAGGGTATTTTCGAGAGGTAAGCATGGCTTCTACTTTAGTTAGCCAAATTTCGGGATCGTTCTTACCATTGAAGATGGGTAAGTCCACACGGATGGTTTCGACACGCTCCGTGTGAGTGTGAGGTGGTTGTTGATTTTGCTGAGACGCGTTGAGGGATAGTCTGTTGACTTCCTCTTGAAGTTGAGCAATTAAAGTGGCGGTTGCGGGGTCCATCGCTGATATAAGTGACTGATCTCTAGTATGTTGATTTTTAGGGGAGACTCTTCGCGAAAAGATTTCGGCAAGTTCTTCCGGACTATACTTATCCCAACACGGTTTGCAAAGCTGTGTCAGTATAGTGAACTTGGTCGTGAATATATATAAATTAGAGAGATAGTCTTAAAAACGGCTTACACTAAATTCGGAGTGTAAGAGATATAATAATAGTCCTTGGAGAATGACTCCAACGGAAAAAAAACGATTAATGATCCTTGGAAAGAACGGTTCCAACAGATCCTTCGGAAAGATACGGTTCCGATACTAAGCTTCTATAAGCTTTCAACGGTTCCTGCTGATCAGGCGAGGAAAGATAACGATAAAAAATAAACGGATGCTACGAAAAAAAATCGCAGAAATATTTCTGTGAATCTACTAGGGTTCAGAAGTACCGAGAGTCTAATTCGGGTAAAGGCTTATAATGCGAGAATAGCGGATTCGAGGATTATAAGGAAGTGATTAGGCAAAAGGCACTGTGCGGTGAATCAGTAGAGAGCAAGCTGGGGATTGAATTGCAGCGAAGAAAGGTCCGCCTTTTATAGGCGAGACTTTCGCAGTGAAATCTCATTCTAGGCTACAAGATAAGAGCGCACAAGATAAAGGCCGGAAGCGGCGAACAAATAAGGAAACAAGATATGGAAAAGGATATCGAGAAGATATCCATATAATATATATGGAAGTAAGTAAATAAAACATGCGCGTCGCGTGAACCATCTGATGGTTCACCACTACAGGAAACCCGGATCCGGCGAGGCTTTGTTAAACGGATCCGGAGGTTTCACAGTACCTACGCATTCGACCACATTCATACATGTATGAATGTGGTCGAAGGCGCTTTTTGACTGAGAATCCAGAGGAATGTAGTCAGAAAGCGCATTCAGCTCGGTCTGAAGGTGAATGCGATAAAAAAATGAAAAATGAAATTGATCAATTTTCAAAAAGTTCCAAGTCCCAAAAAAAACCTTTTGAATGTCTGAATCAGCACGTTCATCGACATCGAGCAATCAAGAACCCCATCTTGACCTATTAGGGATGGTCTTCAGAGCCGGCCGAGCCGTCCTCGACTTCCTTGGTCGCCAAAAAGTGCCATGTCGAACATCAAAGCTTCGCGGAAACGCTTATGCTGAAGAAGTTTACAACGGCTCTCCAGTCCGCTTCCGAGAACTGTGTCGGATGAACAAACCAGCATTTGATGCTTTGGTTGATCGTCTGAGCCCTTCAATCCAAAGTTCAATCGAGGTGTCGGCTTGAGAACAGATTATGATCTTTCTCTTTATTGTGGGCAACTCCGGTACGAATCGATTAGCTGGAGAACGCTTTCAGCGGTCAGGAGATACCATCAGTAGATACTTCAACAAAGTCTGTGAAGCCATTGCTGAGCTGAAGGAAGAAATTATCGTGATGCCTGGTGAAAACACACCGATCCCACCTGAAATCGAAGACAATCCTAAACGATTTCCTTACTTCAAGGATTGCATCGGTGCAATGGACGGAACCCATATACCTGCAGTAGTTCCGCATGAACTACATCCGTCCTATCGAGGTTACAAGAAGGGCCTCTCACAGAACGTCTTGGCAGCTTGTAGTTTTTCAATGCTATTTGTATTTGTTCTCGCAGGCTTTCCGGGGTCCAATCACGATGGTACTGTGTTTAAGGAAGCCTGTCGAGGGGGTCGCTTCAAAGTCCCAGCAGGTATGTTTGTTTGTTTCTCTCAAATCAAATGTACCAGAACTAATCTGAACATTTCTAGGTCGCTACTTTTTAAGTGATGCAGGTTATATGTGCACTCAAACTCTTCTCACACCCTATCGAGGGGTTCGATATCACTTGCAAGAGTGGAGTCGGTGTGGATTACAACCCCGTACCTTCAAAGAGCTTTTTAACCTGCGCCACTCCGGTCTAAGAATGGTCATCGAGCGCATCTTTGGAGTACTCAAATTTCGATTTCCAATCCTTCGAGATATGTCTTCCTACTCTCTCAGGACACAGAGCATGATTGTAGTAGCTCTTTGTGTCCTACATAATATCATACGACTTCACGGTGGACCTGATGAATTTGACGAACTCAAAGATCTTGAACATCGCATGCAAGATCAAGCTGAAGCGGCTGCTCGTCAGCCTGCTCCATATGTAGAACCTACAGCTCTCAATTGAGCTGAAGGAGCAAATCAACGTGATATCATAGCACAAGCTATGTTTGATGAATATCTTACTCATTGTCGTGCTCAAAGACGTGGCTAAACTCAAAGTGTATAAGGATGCTGAAATTTCACTCAAAAACAAACTTGTGTTTCTTTTGTTCATTGATCAAAGGATACAAATAAACAACTACTTTTCATTTCTTTTGTAACATTTGGGATAATACATGTATTTGTAGTTTAAAATATGTGTTTACAAAAGAGTTTGGAATAATACCTACAATTTACTCTTCATTCTTCTTGATTTGTTTGAAAAGCCATTTGAATCTGAGTTTTGCTGATAAATTTACAAATGAACTAGCCTTAGCTTCATCACAAAGAACATCAGCAGCCTCCAATTCGAGGTCCTCATCACCTCCAAAAGCTTCAGCCGCTCCTTGGTCAAACAACTCCATCGCTTGTTTCTTGTAGGGGAACTTCTCCAACTTCGCCGAGGCTATTGCAAGATCAGAGGTGAGTCGAGTCTTCTCTACTTTGACTGCTTGGTCCATCGAGCTCGCAAGGGCTGAAGTTCCTGTCAATCAAGATTTGGGAGCTGCGGTCGGACCTTTGGTTTTTTTTCCAGCTGGTGACGGTGGAGGTGAAGCTGAAAGAGAGATTTGACGCTTAGAAGTCGAAGCTCTTGTGCTGGGAGTGGTCACAGCTCTCTTGATGACCGTGGTTGGGGTTGTGTTGCTGGGAAAGTCCATAATGCCACTCTTAAACACCACGTTCTTGCCCTTCAAGAATCGGTTAAAAGGAAGTGGGTTTTTCGTAGTGACAGGGGTCTGAGCAACGGTATTGGTGGCTCCAGGCTCATCTAAATTGGGCTGTATCATAGAGTCTAAAAAAAGATATCAAACAAATGAAAAAAAAAGAATTAGCAAAATCAACTTACCTGAAACTCCACCTTGGTCTAGGTCAGACGTGTCCTCGTCCTCAGCTGGTTTGTGGTGGTTCGAAGGTGGAGAAGGAATCGGAGCACCAGTTCCGATTATGTTGCTGGGAAGACCTTGATGCTGTTTCCCCATAAAAGATCCCATGAGCTCGAGAAACGGGAACACTCGTTTTTCAAATTGTTTCACATCTGAATGTGACTGTAAAAGTAAAGCACATTTGAGTAGATGAAATGCATGATATTGAACAGAAAAGAAAGCTGCTTACATCAATATAAGTCTTCCACTGGTCCGGACTCATATCAACATGTTGAGTCTCGTTGTTCCAGCCAGCGCCCGATTTGAAAGCAATCTCGTAGTATGTGTTGTAGGCTTTCTTGAGCTAGAGGAGCAAAGCAAATTTCATATGAGTTACATGGAACAGAGTTCGCATAGTCATATATACAATGTACCTTTTGAAATTGATTCTTGAGTTGTTTTTTTGAGTTAGAAACTTTGTAGTTTTCATACCAATTTGAAACTACATCAGTCCAACCACTGGCTTGAAGACCACTATCCGTTCCACGACCCAGCTCGATCTGTCAATTGACTTCTTCTAATAACCACTTCGATCGAGAGTCAGTCCACTGAATTGGTGGATCTTTCGGGGAACTTCCGTTGTTTTTGGATGCCATTGAAGGAGTTTAGATGATTGGAGAAAATTGGAGATGATTTGGAATGACTTGAGAGAGAAACAGAGAGGTAAAGAAGTGTTGAGGGAAACGTGAGTGGCCAAAAACCGTCAAGTTCACGGTCAAAACCATGAAACCGTGGTCAAACCACGAAAAAAATCCACAAAAAGCTGTTTCTGAGAAAGAGGCAAAAACCACATTCTTTTGTGGTTTTGTAGGCGATAAAACCATGGTTTTTGGCCGATGCTTAAGCTACCGAACGCTTTAAAAAAAGTGTGGTTTTATTGCATTCTGACCACAGTCAGTAGGCGATAAAACCATGGTCAAATGCGTGGCCAAACACCGCCTTAGTCAACTTTGGTCCTGTCATCATTGTTAAAAAAATGGGTTTAGCTAACTTAACCAAGGCCCTCAGAGCACCCACTATCATGAGGGTGATTTATTGTAAATTTTGAATTCCTGAGCACAAAATTTGATCATGTGTGTTTTATCCAAGTTGGTAACCACAACTTTGGGATGATTTACCATCTGATTTACCATGGTTCCTACAATCAATCAAGTTGTAGGCATGTGTAGATTTGAACACACGGGGTGCAAGATTTGATGCAGTTGTACAGACCACAGGTATATAACAGGTCCATAGTGGAGCTGTTTGTATTTTAGCATTAAAGTGACACTGATTCATGTTGTTAACACAACCATAGTGGATGCTCTCAATGCCAAGACAGATGTCATTCAAGCAAGTTGAATCCACATGTCTCAGGAGTCAGCATGAGGGACTTACATCTAAACTTGTCATTTTGGCCTGAGGAGTAAGGATTCCTTTTCAGAGGAAATCCCAATTTCCTCATTCCTGTGAGTTCCCCAAGCAATACTGGAACAGCTCCACTCGAAAGTGCGGGAGCGGAGCAGGAGCGGAGCGCTTTTTTGTGCGCTCCGCGCACCGCACATCCGAGTGGAGCCCTCCGCTCCACTCCCTGGGACCGGGAAATCATAGAGCGGAGCCATCGCTCCGCTCCCCGCTCCGGCCCTGCGCACCCCGCTCTATAGAGCGGAGCAGAAACCCTGTACCCAGGGGCAAGGGTACAGGTTGTAGAGGTGGCTTCCCTCCTCAATTCCAATCACTTATCCCTTCAAACACCAACACCAAAGATCGTGGCGCTTCGACTGTTTTGGCAACATGGACGACCCCTGGCAAGACTTCCGACTACGGCTAGCTTGTGGTCTGTCTTTTTTTTGGACTTCTTGGTTTACTATCTTGATTAGGTTAGTCCCCCTCGCTCTTTTTTATTCAGATCAGAAAAATAAAAAAATCTTACACTTACCTTGCATTTACCTTCGTATACTTCCTTTACTTATCTTTCATCTTCCTTCCCACACTTCCTTTTTTCTCGTCTGCTTGATCAAATGGCACCCTCTAAAAAATCATCAAATAGTTCCTCGCTCCAGGTCCCCAGTCACAGTTCTAGTAGACAACTTCGTCCACCCAGCCCTGTACGAACCCAGCCAGGTTTTGTTGTACCTCCAAAAGATTCATGTCAACGAGCATCTCCTTCGATTCATGACGAGGAGGAGGAATCAACTCCTGGACCTCTTGCTAATCGATTGGCTTCACCTCGGCCGCCAGCTTCTTTGAACAAGGGCAAGAAGAAAGCTGGTCCAGCACCAGTTCAATCAAAAGCAAAACCTACCTCGCCAGGAAAAGTGAGTTTAATCATTTCAATCAATATCATTAAACACTCAATACTCATTCCCAATGTCTTATGTTTTGGTTTGGTTATCTAGACACGCTCTTCAACTTGCAAGCGTGCCAGATCACCATCTGGTAGTGTAGGCACAGTCTCACCCCGAACATCTAAGCGGACCAAATCGGACAAATCAGATGTAAGTCAAGGTTCTCACCTATCATGATTGTTTGATTTAATCATTCGATCATTGTTTTAACAATCTTTTGCTCTCTTTATCTCTTTAGGCTTTTGAGGTCCCAGAAAACGCCGACCTTGACCAAGACTCCGATGTTGAGTTTGTTAGTCAGAGCGAACCTGGATACAACGCAGTTCGATCGGCCCGCGTTGAGGACCTGCTTACATATTATTTTCCTCCTAAGGTATTCTCTGACTCTTCCTTTCTTTCCACCTTCATTATATCATGCACGACACAGCTCACTGACGTTGCATTTCTTTAGGGTCTACTTTACAAGTGTAGATGGTGTCCTAAGTCGTATTCTGCCGGGGACAGATCCTTCTGGGGTCTTTGGTGCCATCGCGATGGAGGCGAAGGACGACCTCAATGCAAGAACCGTCACAAAGCGATTGCTGCGGGTGTCAAGCTTCTGATTTCATACAAAGAAAGACTGCAAGATGAGAAGAAGGAGGAAAAGGCTACCAAATTAGATTCATACCTTGCTGGACCGAAGTTTTCACCCAATCTCCTCAACATGTTTCTAGTCATGTGGGTGGTTTGGCACGCTCTACCTTGGGTTCGGTTCAAAGACCCACTCCTGAGAGCAGCATTCAGCGGTGTTAATCGAGGAGCTGTGCTTCGCTCAAAGACATGGGCGGCACAGCAGTCACACCATCTGTTTGCTGGATTGCACAACAAGGTGATTACTACGCTTCAAGTAAGTCATTTCCGATCTTTTTTCATTTCCGAACATTTTCACTTATATTCATCTTCTTATGTTTCTAAAACAACAATGTCTTTCAACAGCAAAACGAAGGCAAGTTTTGCCTGATCCACAACGTCTGGACCACTAAAGGCAACCGATTCGCCTTTGTGGGCGCATCAGCGAACTACATCAACAACAATTGGGAATATAAATCAACTCACCTTACACTCAAAATGGTCGCATGGCGTCACTTTGGCGCTCTTCTTGCAAGACCCATCGGAAGATTCTTGGTCCGACACGGACTTCACAAAAAGATAAGTCGTCCTTCTTTGTTTTCCTTGTATCTATTTTTCTTTATTCATTTAGTTAGTTCTTCATACTGATATTATCTTTTTCAAACTACTTACATGCTAGCTCAGACCACGGACAGTGGAGGCAACAACGGTCCGATGGCAGCTGAGCTGCAGTCAATGTTCTCAAAAGCTGACGACCCGATTTATTGGAATGCCTCAGGGCATCATATAAAATGTTATGCGCATAAGTTGAATTTAACCGTTGGCCACGGTTTGAAAGCTCTAGGTCAGACGGTTGGAACTTCAAAACCAACGACTCCCAAGAAAGTTTCTCTCCCGATTCCTGCTCTCGAGATTAACAATGGCGATGGCAAGGTTCAAGTAGACGATCCGGACTCAGAAGAAGATGACACTGACCTACCTGAGAAGCCCGATGGAGTTGATGATGACGGAGAGAGTGATGTTGACATTAACATCAATGCGGGCGAAGGAGAAAAGGATCAGGATGTGGCCGAGGATGTTGTTGCGTCAGCCCTTGCAAAGGTCAGTACCCATCTCCTACTTTTTGTCCAAGTGTGAGCGCTGATATTTCAATTTTCCCATTAGGTCGATACAATTTCCGGGCAGATTGCAAGTAGTGCCGCTCGTCGCAACAATTTCAAGACGCGTGCGACCCGTATGGGATACAAGGGTCGCATGCTCAAACGCCCATGTAAGACACGCTGGAACAGCCATTACGCGAGTTGGCAGATAGCTTTGGAGGCTCAAGAGGCAAGTCTTCCTTCTTTGTGATCTTTCTTTAACTTTTCAAATGTCCAATTTATTTCTTGAATTATACTGATATATGTTTGTCAATGAAGGTCATCAACTCGATGATCGCAGCAGATCGTAAGGCATGTTTTTTTAAGGGTGTTACAATCTCACCTGAAGAATGGCACGCAGTTGAGATGGTCAACAAGGTCCTTAAGGTAAGTTTGTTTTGTCTTTGGTTTCCTCTGGTGGTTTTGAACTGAGATATTGACAACATTGTTTGACTAGACCTTTGTCGAAGCAACATCTTGTGTCGAGGGCAATGGCCCTACTGGCTGTATTTTACTACAAGAGTATCGCCGGGTGATCTCTGACCTCAAAACTCATCAAGCCGAAGCATCCACGTTTCCAAGTCTCGACAACTCGATCAACATCATGATCGAGTGGCTTACCAAGTACCAAGAAGAGGCGGCAGATTCTGAAGGCATTGTCTTGGCGACAATTCTGAACCCTCGACTTCGTGGAAA